AAAATAAAATAACAGTACATATTATATTACATTATATTATATTATATTATATTATATTATATTATATTATATTATAATATATTATATTATAAACACAATAACAGCATCTGTATCTTTTAAAGGAAGAATAAATAATATACAGAATAACATAGTATATGTGGCTGGAAGATGACCCTGGGTGATAGGACTGAATGTCCTCTGTTTTGCATATTCAAAATGACAGGTGGTGCCTAAAAGCCACACGTCATGTGACTTTATGTAAACCCCTCTAACAACAAATCAGTCACACTGATTCACTGTGAGATTAAAACCAAACACACAACACCTAAGGCAACACCACTCTTGCACTTAGGGAACTGCTAATTACTGGATATATGTGCAAACAATGTCAGATTAAATTTATGCATTTTAGGTTTAATTACCCACAGGTTATGTCCTTCCAAGCAATTTCTTAGAAGCAGCCAAGCACAGCCATCGGTGGCTCATTACATGGTCACAGTTTCACACTGTGTAGGCTCAGGGAACCAATACGAGTTATCTCGATGGTGTCTTCATTACACATTTTGTATTAAATAATATTTTTTCTCAGACTGTGCACACGTGCCTTTAGGGATTATTGTTGACAGACTTAAAATATGGTGTAACTGCAGTCTTTTGGATCCTATTGTCTATAGCATCATGTTCAGCCATTCTCTGTGTTTAGGTTTTTGTGCTTTAAATTTCCTCACAAAGCATCTGAGAAGCAATCACTACTTGACATTTAATCAATTGGGTTTTGTGACCACATCACACTGAGTTAATGTAAGCCGAATTCAGACTTGTCTCTGGTGATTGTGTGGCAAAATTGGATTTTCATCCAACCGTTTAGCCTCCCCCCGCCATTATCAGCCATTTTAGATATATCATACCTTCATCTGCGTAAGGCATTGACTGTGAAAGGAGGTAAACCACACCAATAAAGCTATCGAGCTTTCTATCGCTCAGTCAGATGCTGTGATAACACTGTGCTGGAGTAATGTCTGCAAATGTATTGTGTGGTGGATGTGCCTCATTCACAGTAATGAGACTAAATTTGAAAGGCTGTGATCCATGAGATAACTGACCTTTCTCTGTTGACTGGATGGTAATGGTTCCCTCCCTGTAAACGGCTGACCTGAATACATTTTCAGCGTTGAGATATAAAGAAATATTCAGTTCATCCCTTTTGAAATGTTCAGTCTGTTTAATTGCCCATATTTTATATAATCACCACTTCAAATCTTACATAAAATATGTATTAGAATACCATATTGAAGGGTAAACTCTATCATAAAAAATACTTATAAGATTTCAAGGAATATTATTTGTTATATAAAATTATTTTGCTGATGTTTCTCCACTTGAGTTTTATTTATTGGGTAATTTACAGCACTTGCCAGTGATTTTGTCTATTGGACTCGCATCTTAACAAACCAGAAATAGATGCAAAATATTAATAGGATTAGAATAAATAATGAAAATGTAGAATTTTATCTTCCAAGGAATATTACTAATCCTGTCCAAGGTTAAATATTTATATATTTATGTTGGAACATCATGTACAATAAAAATATATCACTCAATGCACATCATAATCTCTTGGATGAACTCTAATCCTCTTCATCTTCATCAAGGCATAAACATCCAGTATGTTGTCCAGTTTTCATCCACCCCTTGCAGATATTACATGGACACTTTTATTCAGATTCAATGAACATTTAATCACTTACAGAACAGATACGAACACACAGCTCATGGTCCTCTAGAGACAGGAATCATGGCGTGAGCCTTCAAAGCGTTGTAATTAACACTGGACAGAGCACCAAGAGTGTCCATCTATTGAGTAGATACAAGGCTGGCTTGTCCTGTGTTACATGACAGACTTGGAGAAAGACAAAGCATTGCTCACATGGTGTGAATTCAGGTGGTCTGAGTAATTGGAGACGGAGATAGAGATAGAAATGGGGGGTGGGTTGAGACAAGTCTCTCTTAATTCAGACGTTGCCAAAATGGTCATTTGTCCCTTAAGTGAGATGAATGAGGCGAGTGGTTGAGTGACTGGCTGATTGAACGGATTGGGGATGTGAGGAAATTGAGTTGCCTGACCCATCACAGGCCCGACAGGGTGCGGTAGTGCAGAGCAAAAGAGGGGGACACGGGTGTAACACCTGGCCTCCAGGAAACACATTTCAACATCTGAATTATATAATATTATTTATTTTTTGATGAGCAACTTGACCTGAGAGGCACTGTGAGAATGCTATGATAAAGCAGATAAAATAAAGCTTCATCATGCATATTGAATGGTTACTAACTACATAACTAAACAGTTAAGATTTTTACTTAACTAAAACCCCCTTTTTTTAATTTATAGGCAAATGTTAAACAATAAAAACGTAGGAGGACTGAAAGTGTTAAAGTGAAACAAAAAAAGTGCATTTGCAGAATGAAGTCAGCATTGTAGACGATTCCCATTTTTTTATCAATTAGATCAAGAAGAACAAAGAGAAAACAACAAAAAATACATAAACAAAAATATGATAGATTGAGGCTAACCATGTTACATATCATTGCCCCCGAAAAAAACTACAAAAACATCCTCAAAAAACAGGTAGATAAAACACACTTTTCCCTCTCTTAGCCTATCGTAGCCCATATCCATCGAGGGACCCATTCATAATACTTGTATTAAGGTTATTTAAATGTATTTGATTTGTCTCAGGTCTAATTTCAATGTTTAATGTTTAATGATTATATACTTAACTGTTGTTAATATTGAAAATAGTGCCCTTTAAGTAAACTGCAGTCAGCATGTCGTTGTTGAGCTGTTCACAGTCTCTAGCCATGAGTGAGCATCATCCTGGGCTTTGGCCGAAAGTGATATACATAAGACTGAACTCTGAATAAACACTGAATATCATCTCTAAAATCATATTTTGAGACTGTCATATTTAGGTTAAAGTTATTACATTTAATTGGACCATTGGCTCCGTGATACTAACCAGCTTGCCTTTTGCAAATCATCAACCAGCAGCACGAGGCTGCCAATAGCAGACCCACACTGTGCAGCCAAGACGCAGCCAGCCAGCCAACCCTATCTTAGTTTAAGTTACAGGTAGCTAGTTGGCTGAATCTGCCTTTGCATCGCTCTTGGTAATTGATAGTCATACACCTTTACTTTACACCGTCATTTATTGTTGGCTAAAATCAACACCATTTGTCATAATACATAAGTTAGTATCAAGCATCACGTTAGCTGGTTAAGTAATTTTGCCGTAAAGCCCAGATAGTATTTAGCTTTTGATAATATTAGCAAGCAAGCCAGCTATGGTTAGAGAGCCAGCTGCAGCCACACGTTATCTAGTGCAAAATTGTCTATTCAGTAGAGTCCGCAGCTTTTGACAATTGTAGACTATAAACTCTCCATTTTTCTGTTTTCTGTCTTAAAGCATTCAGAAAAATAGAGATTTTAATCAATCAATTAAAGTTTGATCAATAATCAAACTTCATTTGTACAGCGCCTTTTATATAGGTTTGTTTGAGCAATTCAAAGCGCTTTACAGATGACTGTAAGATAATGAGATGTAAGTAGTTAAACAATTTAAGAATGCACACAAGAAAGAGAAAATGATCATATAATATAATATTAAAACATAACAGCTACTAAATGGACCTTATGGTCAGAATGTTTAGTCAATAACTGTTCCCAAAGCCAGACAGTTTCATAAGTGTGGTCAGGCTGAGGCCATTACTCACTTGAGAGTTGCACAGAAATTAATACCTTGTTCAGGTTTTTCTGCATTGCATGGTGCTGTACAGAGGTTAGATTAGGATGTTTGCTTATGACCAAATTGTCTAAAATAAGCTAATTTCTTTTGAAAGTGAAGGCAATAAGAAACTATTATATATATTTATCATTATCATCAGCATCAGCATCAGCTTTCACTACATGTGTAGCTTGTACCTAAATTTCAGCTGTTTGGAGTTTGGTTCCTCTGTTTTTCTTTTTCCTTTCATCAACAGTTAGATCAAAATTTGCTTTGCATTTAATTCTGTGTGAAACAAAACTCAGCAACAGCATGTGTTTGATTTCCCCTCAGACTACAGCAGAGAGTGAGTTGAACGCAGAGTGAGCTGGGGAGGGGCAGTACAGCAAGATGGGTGCGCTGCTAAATAGCGTCCCCAGTGGAGCTGCAGCAGTAGAGAAATGGTTCAGCACAAGAAAAAAAACACATGGTGCTGTGTGTGCCACATCTTATGGTGGCCACCCCCTGGCTCTGCCTATGTCCCAGCGTCAGAAAAGAGACTTAAGTTTTATTTTTATAGATAAGATCCCAAACTTTAAAATGATTTAAAATATGTAATTTCACCCAAACTAAAGTGATCCATCACACACATTTTCCCCTGAAGAAACAAAAACAGACATATATGTAAAATCATCAGGCATATTCGTTATGTTTTGGATATTCCAGGGGCTGTGCATACGGTCATTAAATACACAGATATCAAGGCAGCATTGATAGTTTTTCTCTGATACAAGAACAACTTAGAGCTGCTATCATGTGTCGTGTCTTTGCACCTCGAGGTTGTGTGTGGCCAAGTTCACGATGAGATATTTCAGTGGTGGATTACTCCGGCATGTTGATCTTATAACAGATAACAAAGAATGTGTCCCTCTCAAATGACAAGCATTGGCAGCCGGTCACTCACATCCGCTGTCAGACAATAACAACAAGACTGCCAGTGGAGAGCTTGGAGGTTGTACAGTAAGCCACTTGCCAGTGCTGAAAGAATGTTTTAGGTGGGTCAAACCGTTTTAATTCTCAGGTGGTCAACGGGCAACGTGTTGAAGTTGGATCTTGTTTTTGGATGCCTGGGTTTATTGGCAAGAATGAATACTGTTTTTTTAATTTTTCATCTAGTCATTCTAGCAGGTAAGAGCTTATTTAAAACTAAAAATGTTGGTCACAGATGGAAATAAGTGTCTTTATTACTTTACTTGACTTAGTGTTTAAAGCATAATGAAGTTGGAGAAAGTTGGAGCTTAGAAAAAAAATTACTATACCTTCCTCTCATGGATTATGTGTAATGAAAGTGCTCGCAGGTCAGTGTGAGCTGATCCAATTCACACAACTAATGAGCACACTTCTGTGCAAACCAGCCTTTTGATTGACAAGGGCATGTGTACTGTTTTCATTTTGCTTTTCAACCTTTTGTCTGTCTGTCACCACATGAAGTCACCTGTATAATTATGTTCAGTAGGATCCCTTAGTTTACTGTGAATATCTTGAGAATCATTCAACCGTTCAAACAACATGTTGCTGTAAAATAACCTTGATGTCAAGGTCAGCTGAAAAATGAAAGGGGATCCTGCTCCAGCTTGTGACAGATATGTAGCCGAAAGAGCGTAAGAACATCTCTATGAAGGACCTTACAGGAGTGCCGTCACATGTTTGAATGCAGTATCGCCAAATTTAGACCCCACACACTGACTACACATATGTACATACATACCTTATATTTATACTACTGTCTTACAGGTTAGAGAACATGTGCTTGAATGCAATCTCTTAATGATTGTGTGTTAGATAGCCTGCTTCAGAAATTCAAAAAATATATTTATATATTGAAAACAATCAAATAACTAAATAAATGCAAACATAAACTTTTTGAAGTCACAGAACTGAATGTATTTAATGCCAAAAAGCTATACACAAACCATGTAAATGTGGGTCACTCTACTGAAAAGTGTAACAGCATGTTACACCTATAGTATGACACCTGTCACATCTATTTTTAACTCATATTAAATGAACTCACCTCAAGTATCAGATGTTCTTAAAGCTGTATTCTGCTTTGGCACAACATAATACTTTTCCAGCACACTAAAGAGGTAATTTTGAGGAGTAGAGAAAGACATATGTTTAAATGTCTTCAATGAAAGTAACCCATATGTAAAGAAAAATGAGTGTGCACCCTTTATGGTGTCTTTTTTTATTTCAGGTGCTGCCTGGGCCTCCTCTGACGAAACACGTCTGGTCAAAACACTCTTCACTGGCTACAATAAGGTTGTCCGCCCTGTCAATCACTTCAAGGACCCGGTGGTTGTTACTGTAGGCCTTCAGCTCATCCAGCTCATCAGTGTGGTGAGGTCTCATGTCACACACAATATCACCCCATCTGCATTAAGATTTAATGTCATCAACTGTCTAAACACATTTATGTGGATTTGCAGGATGAAGTCAACCAGATCGTCAGCAGCAACGTGCGACTGAAACAGGTTTATGAATTCACATTCATTTTTATTGTTGTGATATCATAAAAGAAAGACTTTGAACATGCTGTCATATTGCAGATAGCCTTAATAAGGTAGCCTACTAATTAGAATGGGTGAGAAAAGGATGGGCATAAATACATCATCATGCCTCTAGCCACAAATTATAAATGCACCAAATGTCCAGACTCCAAGAAATTCAATTAAAATATTAAAATATTTGTTTTAGGACATGCTGAAAATACTCTATTAGCATTTGAGTTGTAAACAAACACTGTCTTTGTTTTGACAAGTAAAACATAAAGACAAACGGGCAAGCTGTTACAAATAGTGTACTGAAGAGGTGTATCATTCTTCTTAAACTAAAGAAAGAAAGTTAAACGTCCAGTGTGTAACATTTAGGAGGATCTATTTTCAAAAATGGAATATAATATTCATAGTTGTGTTTTCTTCGGTGTATGATCACCTAAAAATAGGAATCGTTGTGTTTTTGTTACCTTAGAATGAGTTGTTTCTATCTACAGGTGCTGCGTGTTGCCGCCATGTTGAACCACCATGTTTCTACAACAGCCCAGAAGGGACAAACCAAACACTGGCTCTAAATAGGGCCACTTGCATTTTTTGCACCTTTTCACGGCCACTGTAGTTTCTCCTTCGATAATAGTTTTGAATGGTAAAGTCATTGTTCTGAGTGTCCTTGTCTGTTTTTACAGAAATGGAAAGATGTGAACTTGCAGTGGAAACCAGAGGATTATGGTGGCATCAAAAAGATCAGAGTTCCCTCCACTGACATTTGGCGGCCTGATCTGGTTCTCTACAACAAGTATGTTATCAGGCTATATGTGATCCACTTTAAGTCCCTTGTTTTTTTCATTTACAATAAGCTTTACACAACCTACAGCATTCAGACTTCTAGAAACAATCAACACACCTGTCAGTGTTGTTTTGAATCACACTTTTCTATATGCAGTGTGTGAAAGCTCAGATTTCATCAGGCTAAATCTGGAGTCTGTATTGCAGGTCCCCTCCTCCCCTCCCCCCACCATATGCTCCTTCTGACACACTGCTGTTTTTCCCTGACAACCAGCTCCGCTGCCACAACAACTTGTGCCAAGCTGAGCGCTGGTTGGCTGGGCTGTGCGACAGCAGCATTGACCCATCCTCAGGCACTGGTGTCCCCCTGCGTTAATATTTAACTTATTATCCCCCATGTTGAGGCTGCCTGTGTTTTTCTGTGCCCGCAGTGCTGATGGTGACTTTGCCATCGTTCATGAGACCAAAGTACTGCTGGAGTACACAGGAATGATCACGTGGAACCCACCTGCCATCTTCAAGAGCTACTGTGAAATTATTGTGCTGCATTTCCCCTTTGACCTCCAGAACTGCAGTATGAAGCTGGGTACCTGGACCTACGATGGAAACCTGGTCGTCGTCAATCCTGTAATTACATTCAGGACTCTTAAAGGAGTAGTTCTACATTTTGGGAAAAACTCTTGCTGAGAGTTAGGTTAGAATATCAACACCACGTCAACATGTCTGGCTAGCAGCCGGTTAGCTTATCTTAGTATAAAGCCTGGAAGCAGGGGGAAACAGCCTGGCTTTGTAAAAATCTGTCTGCCTGAACACCTAAAGCTCACTAATTAGGAAGTTACTGTACATCTTGTTTGTTTAATCAGAAACCAAAGTGTAAAAACTACACATTACGGTTTTAATGGGGACTATTTCTTGGCCGGGAGCAGTGACTTTCTGCAGTCCCTTAAAACCACAACTTAGATTACAACACTTAGATTAAACAAATCTATCAAATATACGAAAGGAAGAAATGTATGGTTATGTTTGGATTGAGCCAGGCTAGCTGTTCCCTGCTGCTTTCAGGCTTTATGCTAAGCTAAGCTGTCTCCTGGCTGTAGCTTCATGTTTACCATACAGACATAAGAGTGGAATCAGTGTTCATTTCGGCAAGAGGGTGAATGTATTTCCGAAAATGTCAACTATTTTTTTAACCATACAAATAGTGTAAATCCCCATTTGTAAGAAACATGAGTGTCTTTACATGATACCTGTCAATATATCACAGAGCAATAGGGCTGTCACTTATTCAACAAATCATGCTCAAATGGATTTGAAATTACACATAATTCACTGAAATAATAAATACATATACAACTGTATGACACCACATAGGAAAACACAACATAGGGTTAGGGATAAGACATTCGCATTCCTTTATTTTTTCGAGCTTCTGGCAAGGGGTCTGCTGAAGCTGAGTGTGCCGAGTAGTAGTAGTCAGGGGCATAGGGCAATGCCATAGGTCAATCTGATAGTGAAGCGTCCTCTGCTGGGCAAGGCAAACTACTTTAAACAACGTGTTGCGCTTACAGACTGTACATTTTGAATTCAAACAGGTCATTACACTTCAAAAATTGACAACCTTACAAATTTTGAATAAAAAGTGACAACCCTACAGAGACTGAAATAGTCTGAATAGTGTTTCTAACATTTACCACTTTATTGCTTAAGGAATTGAATAGATACAAATAAGCAAATAAGCCTTCATCAGGGCAACATTGGAGTGGTAACTTCCTCTTTTTACAGAAATAATTAACAGGATATTGTATTCTATGACATAATTTGCATCATAATATCACAAACCAAAACATCTTATAGAACGGATTCTGTATACCGAGTTCACTTGTATGCAACCTAAACATAGTTAACGTCATGTTTGACCTTTGAACTCAAACATAATTCAGATATGCCTGAGGGAGCTCATCACAAGACAAAACCTAAACAGTGCTTTACAGGTGATTGACAAACTAATAATAAAAGTACAATGTAAACATTAAAACAATTTGAGACCAATGCACATAAAAAATAGAAATAGTAAAAGTGAAATAATAAAAATGTATAAAGAATTTGAATCAAAACTCCTTTAATAACCCTGTTTATTGCTTCTCCTCATCAGGACAGTGACCGCCCTGATCTGAGTAACTTTATGGAAAGTGGAGAGTGGGTGATGAAGGATTTCCGTGGCTGGAAGCACTGGGTGTACTACGCTTGCTGCCCGGACACCCCTTACCTGGACATCACCTACCACTTCCTCATGCTGCGGCTCCCACTGTACTTCATTGTCAACGTCATCATCCCCTGCATGCTCTTCTCCTTCCTGACTGGCCTCGTCTTCTATCTTCCTACAGACTCTGGTACGTGGAGACTGCTTTCACATTGTTTCGTTTAACTGGGCTATAACACTAAGTCTATATCATGGTATTTATTATGGTATTGGATCTCTCCAGAATCACTTATCCTATGTTATATTTTATTAGCTTAATCCATCAAGAAAAGAAAGAAAGAGTAAAATCAACACTTTGCAGTTTTATGGAGGACTGTGTGTGGACTATTTCTTAGCAGGAAGCAGTGATTTCCTGGAGTCTTGTCATCACCATGAGGGTGAGGGTGCTGCTTGGCCGATTTTGTTATCTTTAGACAGAGCCAGGCGAGCTGTTTCCGAGTGTTTCTAGTGTTTGTGCTAAGCTGAGCTAACTGGCTTTAGTTTTATATTTAAGAGGCCGATATCACACACCAGCTCCAGACAGCAGTACTCACAACTCTCCTCCAACTCTAGCTAACAGCACAACTACAGCATATTTTGGCAAACTAGAAAGCTGAATGTCTGTGGGCAAGTCATTTAACGTTACCTGACACATATTTTGGCTAGAATGGCTGATATAACAAGTTAGTGTTGTGTGACTCGGTCTGATTTCCTATTTACAGAGCCAAGGCTGTGTACAAACATTTTGTTGTCTTTTGACTGGGTAGTTGTTTCCCCCTTTCCACTCTTTGTGCTAAGCTAACAGTTTCCTTACTGTAATTTAATGTTTAGTTTACAGACATAGTAGTGTTATTGGAGAATCTCCTCTCCAAGAAAACAAATAAGTTTATTTGTTTTGGTTTATTTTTGCCGAGATTTAATTTCTTTAACATGGATGACAGTAAATGTCACTCCTGAAATGCCGGTCCAGTGCATTAGCCCAGGTGTGATACTGAGGCATATAGATGCATCCTATTCATACAAACCCTGAAGTAGTTATTTGCAATTTGTCAGAAAGAGTTTCTATCTACTGTATTCTTATTACATTTTCCTATGTATCTATGTTTGATGATAACTTAAACATCAAATCCTTGTTCCTCATTCTGCCTGTCAGTCTGGGGTGTCTCTACATTGCCTGCTACAGGAACCGTATTACTCGTGTGCACATCTGGCCGTGTTCCCAGTGTGTAGGTCTGCCTCATTACCCAGGGTCCCTCTGTGCTGTCATGTCTGAAAGCAGGCCTTTGCTTTAATGTATAATACATCACTTGATCCCTGTTTCTGATATGGCTGCTGACAGGAGAGTGTGGAGGAGAAGCTTGTGCCAAAAAGAAGCTCTCTCCGGAATAACTGCTCTTACTGAGCAACAAAAACATGTCTTGCATTTTACTTGTGAAATGGTGTCAGAATATGTTTACTTGTGCTATTGTTCGTTCTAGGAACAGCAACACACAAAAATATGCCTCTCATTCTTTTTGCTTGTATAGGTGAACAGTGCAGTCATTGTGTTCTTGTGTAAATGCTAGAGGTGGACCCTGATTGGATGGCTGGAGAAGGGAAGCACTGGACTCATAGAAATAGCTCTCCCTTGTGGCAGTGTAATAAGATTGCATGTTGTGGGTATCATGAGCCAACTTACTGTTTAATGAGGCACATTCACATGTTTCACTCTGGTTTCAGGGTTATGTAAATGTGTCTTTTAAAGTGAAGATAACACGTCACACTTTAAATCATACAGAGCGTGTTATTGCATTTGGATTACATTTGTCCCCTGTAGAAACAGCTCTTTACAGATGTTTAGCTCTAAATTTAACCTTTTTGCCTTGTTACTCCTTAAAATTATGCAATGTTGGCTTGTGACTCTTTGGTTTAGGTTTATATATGTCTACCAGTTGTGACCAGTTCACCTGAAGAATTGTTCATATTTAAATTACTTTTGATGATAATTAGAATGATATCTAGATACCTTCCTATATTTTTCTGAGTTTGGAAGTTTATTTGCAACTTTGGAAACAGCACCTGTAAAACAGTCTCACCAAGGTCCTTTTAGTAGCTGTTTTAACACTTTTGATCATATAACAGGAGCAAAATCCATCTGCTGATGAAGATCTTGTGCAACTAAATAAACATTAAGTTGAGATTAGTTTGTCAAAAAAATTTTTTTTCTATTTCTATCCTGTAAGTGATGTCACAACCCTTCAGATGTATTTTACCATAATCTAATCGAGTCGTTTCCTAACGTCCAGGTTGGGAAACACTGGTCTAAATGTTGATTGATTATATTTCTTATACAGCAGGTAAGATTTAGACAAATAAAGTCAGCAGTGAAGTAAACATGATTTGCTGTTTTCCAGGTGAGAAGATGACTCTCAGCATCTCTGTCTTGCTGTCCCTGACTGTGTTCCTGCTGGTTATTGTGGAGCTTATCCCGTCTACCTCTAGCGCTGTACCACTCATTGGGAAGTACATGCTCTTCACCATGGTCTTTGTCATTGCGTCCATCATCATCACTGTCATTGTCATCAACACCCACCACCGCTCCCCAAGCACTCACACAATGCCAGACTGGGTCCGCAAGGTGAGCACATAAACAGAGGGAAATGAATAATTATTTATTATTTATAGAGCAAAGCTGAGTGACTTGAAATGGATCAGTCCCATTTCCAAGCTTGGTGAGCTTTGGAGAAAAACACTTAATCTTTTTTTCCTCTGCATTATATTGCCATCTAGTGGTAGCAGACAGTCTTTGTTATTTATTTAAAACAACCTTTCTGATGTTGTGCACTCCTTGACACAGCAAATGTATCTTTTGTCTTTTAATGACAGGTTTTTATTGAAACCATTCCCAACATCATGTTCTTCTCAACAATGAAACGCCCAGGAAAGGAAAAGCAGAGTAAAAGCATCTACGGTGCTGATTTTGACATCTCAGACATTTCTGGCAACCAGACCTCAGCTGTCCCCTACCAGTCACCCATCACCAAGAACCCTGATGTCCGCAGTGCCATTGAAGGAGTCAAGTACATTGCAGAAACCATGAAATCAGATGAGGAATCCAACAATGTAAACACAGAAAGTGTCTCTAATATGGTTCTTGTATCAGTCTTGCTTTTGTGTATCTGACAGATTGTCCCTCTTTTCCTTCCAGGCTGCTGAAGAGTGGAAGTTTGTGGCCATGGTGTTGGATCATATTCTGCTGTGTGTGTTCATGGCTGTGTGTCTCATCGGCACGTTAGGCGTGTTCGCAGGCCGTCTCATTGAGCTGAGTATGCTGTAAAGGCCGGTTTAACCTCTCAGATGACTTTGTTGTTCAATGGGAAACCTGTTTGCTGTATGCACTGCAGCATTCCCAGTCTACACTGCATATCTGATTGTTTACTCTTTGGTGTTTGAAGAAAGTTGTATACAGTATCTTCAGCATAGTTAACAGACCATTGTTGTTTTTAATTTTTAGGGAATATATGTGTGAAATTTAAATGTTGAATTATTTCAAAAGAAAACATTTTTTGGAACATTGTACAATTTTCCTTGATATGTTTATAGGGAACAACTGAATAAATGTGTGTTTTTTTCAGTTTTCATGATGACTGTTTTAGTGCAATCTTGCTCAGTGTCCTTATGTCTTTCTGATGCCTGTGACTTTGGCAAACTGTTGTACATTTTAAAATATTTCATAAAATCTAAAGGTGTGAAATGTAAAAGCAGAAATGTGAATAGGTAGACTACAATACAATCAAACATAAACTTTGATATGTTGTCTTAACTTTTAGATGATATTTTATTTAAGATACTTTCACACTTGCCCCTGATTTGTATGGACAAGCGGCCTTTATAGCCTTTATAGTTGTAAATTTGTATTTCCACGCTATGCAATTTTATGCTTACACCTCAGAGGCAAAGGTTGTGCTTTTTACTCCTACATACTACATTTGTTGGACAACTTTATTACAAATTTCTTTTCAGATTTCAGTTTTTCATACTCTTCCTGTCCCGGTAAAAAAGATGTCTCTTCAAAGTGGTGATTTTTAATATTTCTAATAATATAACTAAAGCATTAAGTGTTCCTTTATGGGTTGAATTATCCTACTTCTTAAACCAAATAAACTATGAATAAAACTTGGACTAGCTTAAAATTGCATTGTCACAAAACTCAAAACAGGGCTGTTTTTCTGAGCTCATGAAATGTTGTCTTTTTAAAGATATGTGGTTTTCTCAGGGACATTACAATGATGATCTTGCAGAATATGATGCACTGCTATAGATACAATTACCCAACAGTATATAAAGTAGTTAAAATTAGCTCAACCTTATATATCTACAGCAGTGAAATGCAACATACAGATTAATGCACCAGTAATATTAAATAATATTAACACTGACAGAGACCATTTTTCTGCATAATTAGTACTTTTACTTTTGATACTTTAATTAAATGTTGCTGATAATAGTTACTTAAATACGTTTTGTTTTTTTTATTGCAGGATTTTTACTCGTAGTGGAGTATTTTTACAGTGTGCATCTGAATACTTCTTCCAACACATTGTCAGTCAACCCTCTATTTGACATTAAAAATACCCATGCAAATTCTGTGCTCTTCCACTGCAGCTCTGACACATGTTTTCACCTGGTTACCTACCTATGTTATACAGCAAATTACAGTAAAATGTTAGTTTTAACATAAGCCGAATAAGCCTAGTTGCTCTGACAACTGTACCAAGGGGGACAATCAAGATCAAGTACACACCAGATTTCTGCTGATTAGAAAATACACATCTGCATATTTAATACTGAAGAGTTTGGTGTGAGCAGGCTAAGCCCCGCCCCTTCCCTCCCTCCGCTACATGTGATTGGTCAGCTCGTTGTTGACTAATCGGGCATTATGAAAGTTGCTGGGTGGGAACCAAAGTCATAACTTACCTGTGTACACACAAACTAGACACAGTTGTAGAATTGGGACAACAATTTTGTAAGAGTGGACTTACTCCACCTTATAGTTTATGTCGTGTAGTTAACGTAGCTGCACGTCAGTACTAGTCGACGACGGTCTGGTCTCAACACTGGCAGCTTAGCTAGCCGGCTGGCTAACACTTACAGCTAACTCACTGACACTTGACTGACACATGGTGCACTCAACGAGGTGAGAGTAACCTTTATAACACCGAACTTTAAAACTACAGCGCTTGTTGGGTAGCTGGTAACAACCGCACGACCTCTTGTGAAGGAGTTATTTCAGTCATATAATAACAATGCTGTATAAAGTAACCTGAAGTTATCTGTTACCCGGTTACCTTTGCCCCAGCGGCTGTAGCGGCTGTAACGG